CAGCAGATATTTAAATTATGACATTAAAAGCAGGGACAAATGTAAAGAGGTTCTGAGAAGGTCTGAGAAATTACGACTGCTACTGAGAATGTGATTTTCCTGTAAATGCTTTACAGAAAAATCCTGTTAGAAAAAACAAAACATCAAGAAAAAAAAGAGGCAATCTGAGTGCAGTTCACTGCCACATGACAGCTACACACACTGACTTACAGCCTGGGGCTGTCAGTTCAATAAATGCAGCCAATTCTGCAACACAAAACTGCTCATATGGATTAACCAGAGTCCAAGTTTGCATGAAAGGAAGAACAACTTCAGTGTTTACTGTAACTGCAACACAAGGGGGAGCACAGTGACCCACAGCAGCTCAGACAGGGCTGCAGAGAGGAAAAGCATTCCAGAAACATAACAGGGATTTCCATCTGACTTCCACTGTCAGTGCAATATTTTAACATTTTTTAAAAAATAAATTAAACCTTTCTCTAAAGATCCCAGAGTCAAATAATGAAACAACATTCACGTAAATGAACTGATGTGAAGAACAAACGTGAGTTACAGATTTAAGTAAATCTGGAGCAGCTTGGAAATCTGAGAATTAAACCTTTTTGGATGTTGCTCTATGGAAGCAACAGGAATCTTACCAGTAATGGGAGAAGATTCACTTGGCCCATGTGGTAAAGGACTCATTGCCTTCAGCTCATTCACTCCAACAGGAATCAGCCAACAGCACTGGATCCAGAATGAGTTCTGTTAGGAAAGAAGACCTTAGAGGAAGACTTCCAACCAACAAGGACTCTCTGTTGAGTAAACTGTGCCAGGAGGTGGCTTTGAAGACAGAGGTGTGCTGGTATGGATGATGAATAAAATCCTCTAATTCTGTAGGGCACCTGAGCTTACAGGTGGTAAGCACCTCTCCAGCTCTGCCACTGGAGTCAGGACACCCAACAGATTCAAAGCTGTGGGAAATCATTAAGCCATTGAGCTCGGACAAGAGCCAAAAGTCTGGCTGAAGCAGAGATCACCAGGGAGCCAGAGGATCGCAAAGGATGAGTATGTGACAGCATCACTTGGACAGAGGGAGCTCTGCAGGAGCAGCAGACTCCTAAAACACAGGCAGCTTCAAGAAAGACTTGGGCAAGCAGAGCTACCAGGCAAGAACCAGAGGCAAATCCCCACTAATTGTATCTCTTGAGGTGAAAGCAACAGCACTAATGGAAACTCACCTTCTGCTCTGTGACCACAGAGCTGTATGAAGATGTAAGTCTTGTTGCTCAACAAGACTGCTACCTGTAGTGACTAAAATACTAAGAACTTCCATCAAATATGTGAGCCCACCTGCCAGATCAAAGGAGGTGACCCTTAAGCTCAGTACCTATGGAGGCAAGAGACTTTGCTATTCCTATGAATCAGTTTCATTGCAACATGATCATTGTTTTCACATTTTAACAAAACAAAGCTTTATCTTGGCTCTGGAGAAGATACTTGTGAGGAAAATCTGGGTTCAGAAGCATTTCTGCAACTCAGTGAAAGGTGAACAGAGCAATGCTGAAACTCCTGAAATCACCTTGTTGGGAAGAATACAAGGCCAGGTGTCCACCTTCCATTTTAAAAACGTGCCACTTCCTCCTTTGAAGATACTGTCTATTCAGAAGCAGAAGAGCTCCAGCATTCCCTGACCTGTAAAGGCATCACACTATCCAGGATTCATCAGGCAGGAAAGTGACTGAGCCAGGAACACTGATCCCAGTGTCTGCAGTGCTGTATCACAAGGACTATCATCTTTTGCAGGAAATCAACTGGAAACTGTCTACAAGCAACAGCAAAACTTCTCTAGTTGTGGAGGAAGCATCTCACCCATTGCAGAGCAGCCCCACACAAGAGTTTGCTGGGCCTGGCAAGATGAAGATCCCAGCTCCAAAAGTGCTCTCCTCAGATTATTGAAATTAAAAAGAGATACAGACCCCATGTCAAGAGAACTATTGCTCTGTGCAGCTCACACATTCCTGCAACATTTCAAATGGATGATAAACTAGTAGTAGGAAAACTGTCTGGGGAAAGAAAAAAGGGAGGGGGGAATTATCAGAAAATGCAACTAAGAATTGAGAGCATCTTAAATACACTTTAGTAGAGGAACCAAAATATATTTCAGTCCTCAGAGAAACCTGTGCTAATAGACATTATTTCCTGTCCAAAATAAGATAAAATTAACACCTTTAAAGAAAAAGAAAGTGCAATTTGAACAGATTATTTTCTAAGGAAAGTACTGTATAAAGTGCACAACTAGCATGATTTTGCAAGGGAAACAAGAATGGGGTGAGGTGTCATCAAGACTGCTCATTTTAATTTACAATTTACATTTTAATTTAGATTACAGGGATTGACCTGCCATGCAGCTCTTTAAGTACTCCAGTTACTTTTGGCCACTGACTTTTTGAAACCTCACCCTGTACCTGTGGTTTAAAGAAAAAAAACACAGAAAAAATAAATGCCTGTTCACAAATATGCTCCAAAGTGCATGGTAGAAATAGGAAAATAAACACAGGTATGCAAAATATAAAAGAAACAGGACAGAGAATGAATCAATGGAAGACTGAAAAAGAGAGATCATAATGAAATTTCCCTGCTTGAGCAGCAGAAGAGTCTGGAGAGGATTATCTACCCAGAGCTACACGAGGCTGAGGCAAACCATGTTCCATTTGTATTGCAGTGGTTTTTCTGGGAACTGAGGAGAGGCTCCCACAAGAGTGTGCTGGATGCTTGAGCACTGGAAATAAAAGAGTAGTCACAAAGTCAGATGTGTGAAGTGGAAGAGCAGCACAGGAGGTGTCACACCAAGACAATGATGCAGTGGTTGTGCCACAGCACCTGCCAACACACAAAGGGTTATAAAGGTTGATGGTGCAATAGAGAAGTGGGTGGTGGAGGAATTTGCAAGACAGAAATGAGTCTATACTGGTAAAGAGATGGCTGGGAAAAAGGGAACAATAGGAAAATGCAACAGAATTCAGTTTGAAATGACAAACCAGAAAAACAATCACTGCAGCAATATTAAAAATGCATTTCAGAGAAGACTTCTGTGTGTGTCAGACTGTATTTGTTAAGGGGAATTATCAATGATCTGGATGAGGGGATTGAGAGCACCCTCAGTAAGTCTGCAGATTACACCAAACTGGGGGGAGTGTTGATCTGCCTGAGGGTAGGAGACTCTGCAGAGGATCTAGACAGGCTGGATTGATGGGCTGAGATCAATTGTATGAGGTTCAACAAGGCCACATGCTGGGTCCTGCACTTGGGTCACAACAACCCCAGGCAACGCTCCAGGCTTGGGGAAGAGGGGCTGGAAAGTGCCCAGAGGAAAAGGACCTGGGGGTGTTGATTGACAGTGGCTGAATATGAGCCAGGGTGTGCCCAGGTGGCCAAGAAGGCCACCAGCATCCTGGCTTGTACCAGCACTGGGGTGGCCAGCAGGAGCAGGGCAGGGATCATCCCCCTGTGCTGGGCACTGGGGAGGGGGCACCTGGAATCCTGGGGTCAGTTCTGGGCCCTCATGACAAGAAGGACATGGAGGGGCTGGAGAGTATCCAGGGAAGGGCAGGGGAGCTGGGGAAGGGGCTGGAGCACAAGTGTGAGCAGGAGCAGCTGAGGAAGCTGGGGGTGTCCAGCCTGGAGACAAGGAGGTGAGGGGAGACCTGTTGGCTCTGCAGCTGCCTGAGAGGAGGTTGGAGCCAGGGGGGTTGGTCTCTGCTCCCCAGGAACAAGGGATGGGACAAGAGGGAAAGGGCTCAAGTTGTGTCAGAGGAGGATTAGATTGGATATTGGGAACAATTTCTTCACCAAAAGGATTGTCAGCCCTGGCACAGGCTTCCCAGGGAGGTGGTGGAGTCACCATCCCTGGATGTGGAGATGAGGACATGGGTTAGTGGTGGCCTTGGCAGTGCTGGCTTAATGGTTGGTCCTGATTATCTTACAGGTCTTTTCTAATCAAAACTAATTCTATGATTCTATGAATACTCTCAGTGATCTAATCACAGCATTTTGAGGCAGATGAACAAAAACCTAGAATAGCAGTAGAACAAAAGAAGGATGCAATGTTGATGCTGAGGCAAAAAGAATAGTAACATAAAATGGAGTAAAACTGTGGATCAAATGAAATAATATGGTTTGGGAACCTTTAGGTAACAACACAGTAAACACTGAGAAAAGGCCACAGTGGTGAGAATCAAGGTTTCTGTTGGATCTAAAGAAATCTTGGCACAGTATGAAATGCTGAAAAATATATTAACAGTAACACTGCATAATCAATCAGAAATAATAGCAGGAGAAGGAAATGAATCCCTTTTCAAAACCAGTCTCCAAACCCATAACACTGTGTGCCAAGAGCAGTGCTGAATTTTTGGTAGTTTGTGGTAATGGCAACAAAATAAAAACCTCAGGAGAAGAACCTGATGGTGACGAAGTGCTGGGCACCTACCTCTACATTTAATGAAATGTAGCATCACAGATTCATGGCACCTTTGAACATCAGGCTCTAAAAAGATAAACCCCACAATTCAGCCCAACAAACTGGGTAATTAAAGATATCTAAAGGCTGTGATATTCACCTGAAGGAACCAACATAAGACAATAAACCTGGATCTCAAACAAAACACTAGCAGACTGTCTTTAAGGGGATTCTGTGAGAAAACATCTTGCATAAGCAGGAAAGGTTTTGAACATATCATTTATTTCTATAACCTCTTTCTGTCATTGAGGGCACTCAGACAGGTCATGAGGTAGGTAGAAGCACAACCAAGTCTTTCCTGATAAACAACGGTGATGGTTACACCTTCAACCCTATTGATTGGCCTAGAACAGGAATCTTGATGATAATGGGTTTATGTATCCCTGAGAGGGAGTATAAAACAGGAAGAACAGGAGTCTTCCCCATAGATTTTGGGAGAATTGTGTTGTGTAATAAATGTGTCTGTAGAACATTGCTGAGAGATAAGCATGTTTTATAGATGGGGGAGCCAGGAAAGTTAATTGACTTGCCTGTGGCCATGAAAGCAGTCAGTGACAGACCCGGGATTCATGATCAGGACTTCCTTGCCTCCTGCATCATGTTCAAACAGTTACCTACTTGCTGGCCAGAGGCTCACTGCATGGTTGTTCTAACATACTGTATAAAGATAGTCATGCAAGGGATGTAGCACAAAGTCACTGAAGAACAGAGCTCTCTCTGTACCAGAAAGCAGGTTTCTTCTGGAAGCTGCGTGCAATTGGGAACCTCTGGTGGGAAGCACACATCTGGTTTCTTCACCCTGGAATGTCTGGTGCTTAAGGCTTAGCACAATGAGGACTAAATGTAACAGAGATAGCCTGTACAGGCATAAATTACAAGGTGTCTGGCAGTGAAACAACCTTTTCCCTGTACTCTTCTGACCCTTAAAAAACAAACATTAGCCTGGTTAAGTCAGTGGACTCATCACATACAACTATAGATCAGTCTATATTTCCATGTCCACAGGTCGGATATCTCCAGTTTTGTGTTCTTTTACCCACAGTTCCCTGTCTTTGGCAGGATCCACTTTCCGAAGCAACTGATCCACGAGCTCTACTGTCTAAAACAAACAGAAGAATCAAAATGTCAAGGGTGCATTTCAAACAGGGACAGTCATTGTTCTGAAGTGACCAGCAGCTACAGGCACGTCTACATTGCATTTGAAGACAAGTGAGAGCTGCACATAGGCAAGACCTGGTGGACAACAGGCAGCTCTGAATGTGAAGCCTCACAGGGGAAAGCAGAGGAGGGACAGACTTTTAACATCAAGCACTTACAGGTTTCCTGTGCCAGGCATTGGCCAGTCAGACTCTGACTCCTGTCCAGCCTGAGTCTGGCCCTGCAGTGCTGAGGAGCAGGTGTGGGCAGCCCTCTCATGGAGCTGCCTCTGAGGTAGGGACCTCTCTGGGAACAGCCAGAGTCTGGGTGCCATCCCAGCTGGTTAGCAAGCTCCCACCTAGTTCACTGAGGTCACAGAGTGTGTTTAATTTCCATTTATGTGCCACTGCACAGATATGAAAGACATATACCAGTGCATGGTACTTATCTATGTATATGTGTGCGCCTTTTGTGCAACTGTATAGAATTCAATTACTTAATTGGTAATTAACTCTAATAGACACTGAGAGAGAAAGGCTGGACAGTGTGTCCCTCATCCTCAAGTGCCTCCTTTCCACTGCACATGCCTCTTACTTTAGTGTCTGAGGATCAGCCAGTCTTATAATAAGAATAAAATATATATACTCCCTTCCCCAACAGTGAAACTATTCACCATCTTCCTTAGTAGGAAGAGATGGCCTGAAAGGGCAGTGCATGATGCTGGTAGAGCTCATAATGGCTCATGCTGGCCAAGTGTCAATCAATTCATTGTGGTCATTGCTGTGATCCAGCAGGGTGAGATGCTCAGAGAGTCCTGGAGGAGCAGGACAGGAGGTGGCAGCAAGTTGCTGCTGCAGGCTGACAAGCTGAACACAGAGACTTTTCACCTCTCCTTTTGACAGAGGTTAGTCAGACCAGGGCAGGTCACGTGCTGCTCAGCTGAAGTGCAGCAAAGACCAAAGGGACTGAACAAAAAGCAGACTTACACTTTGGTTGAACATGTCTGTCTCGTGCCTCAGCTGGGTGTACTGGCAAAGGTGCTGCCGGATCATCTCTACCCTCTCAACCTCTAACCTCTCAAGCTCCTAGACACAAAAGAAAAACAAGTCCATATTTTTTTTTGGAAGCTGAGATTGAAGGCCCAGAGAAAGAATGACACACAAAAGGTTGTCAGTCAGAGTGACACTATCCCAGAGTCATACTTTGGAGCTGAACTCTGTGGTTGTACATCCCTCTGATTTGCAGAGAATCAGAGACAGCAAGCAACAGAATTCACAGCAGCCCAACAACAGAAAACAAGGTTCAATGCCTTTTGCAAAGAAACAAATATTTCTTCCTTCTCCTTGTGATAGGAGTTTTTTTTAGAACTGAGAACAGAGAATATTATCAGGCAGTTTTTCCCATTGCTTTCCATTGTAACTAGCTATGAGTCAGGAATGTTGCACACTCTTACAATCTTGCAGTATTACCCATGTAAGATCTTACACAGGTACATACCAGAGTGGTGGTCACCATTTCCTCAAACCACTTGGACTGGGCTTGATTGTAAAGATCCACACAGCGCATCAGGTCGTCTCCTGAAAAGCTCAAGACAGCAACACATTAGTCCTCCCCAGCCAGTGTTGTGGAGCTTAGAAGGAAAAAGCAGTTCAGGTTCTGTAGGCAGACCCAGAGGGTTTGAAGGTCAGCCCTGGTGAAGAGGAAGGCAGTTCTGTGACACTGAATTTGTTAAGTGCACCAAAATTTCAACAAAATATACACAGTCCATGTGTGGTAAAAGGTACTAACAGAGCTGCAAATACCAGCTTGTAGATCTCAAGGGTGACAGTTCCTGATGGATCCTGTAGAAGCCATTTGAGCCTCTGTCAAACATGCAGAGGTCACATCAAATAGCTGTGTCCTCAGTACAGCATATCACACACTACTACATCCTCAGTATTTCTTGAACAGAAATAATTATTATCACCAAGCAGTGGTGGAAAAAAGACACAAAGTTCACTTTAAAGGAAAATCCCAGCAACAGGGAGCATAAGAGGCAACCACATAGTTGTGAGTGACTGTGATTTAGGAAAGAAGAAAGGAAAAAACTATGATTGAAGGAAGAAAGATCCTCAGCTGAGCTTCTTTGAATCTGACCTTGAAAGTTTTACTTGTAGTTACCTCAGCATATTTTCACAAGACAGAAGGACAATTCACCCTCCTTTTACTTTCTCACCCTTGTTATCAAAATCATAATTTTTGACGTCTGACTTGGAAAAACCAGGCTTGTTTCTTTAGAGAATTCAATACCAAAGAGATTTGTGGCACAGTTCACTTTGACTTGTAGCTACAGTATTAGAAACCCAGCAAGAGGGGGGTGGACAGGCAGCTGCACCCCACAGTGCTCCTGTGGGGTGTGCTCAGCCCCACCAGACTCACCTGCCTGCGTGGACTTCCGTCTCGCCTTCTTTATCTCCTCTTCTGTCTTGTTGCTGAGCTTCACCTCTAGCTGCTGTGTTTTCATTTCCAGATCCTTCTGTCTCTCTGTCAAGGCTTTCCGGGCCTTGGAGTAATTAAAGAAGAGTCACATGTTTTAGAGGAAAAGAGCTGCCAGCTGCTTTCAGCCATCTATGACTCCCTCACACAAGTATTTGTCAGTAAGAAGCCAGGGACTCTGCATAAAATTGGGTCCTAACTGGGATTTGAGTTCTTTGGTCACCATGTGGCATTCAATGAAGTGTCCTACCACTGTAGACGAGTTGTCACCAACCCACCACAAAAGCACCTGAACTCTTAGATCCTTAGAAAGACACAGCAGAAAAGGCATCATCAGACTTCCATGTTTCTTAGTAACGTTCTCACTTTTTTTCTAGAAGGGCAGATGACGCTTCTTTGAAATGTCTTAACCAGCATCACCAAGATGCTTCTTGTATTTGCTTTTCTTAGGATCTAAACTGTTAAAATAATTTCAAGTATCCTACAACATTTATTTTTAAGTACCTTCTGGATTTGATAGACACCACCAGACACTGACAACAGGATCTTCTAGACATATTTCAGAAAAGCTAATTCAGGTTCATGACAGCAGCACTTTGTACAGTAGAAATAAGGAACCTAATACCTGGTTACAATTGATTATTTAAATTACTTTAAAGTTCTTCAGGCTTTTAAAACCTGATTTGTCAGTATCACAACTGAACTAATACAGGGAAATTAGTAAGTGTCTTAACAAACAAACATCATTACCATGTGTCTGTCACCTCATTTGCTGAGGTTGTCTAAATATATAAAATAAAGATAACTTGTTTGTAAGGACTTGTTATGATAAAAAAATCAGTATGGTTTGGGTTGGAAGGGACCTTAAAGATCATTTAGATCCAACCCCCCTGCATGGGCAGGGACACCTCCCACCAGCCCAGGCTGCTCCAAGCCCCATCCAACCTGCCCTTCAACACTGCCAGGGATGGGGCAGCCACAGCTTCCCTGGGCAACCTGGGCCAGGCTCTCACCACCCTCACAGGAAAGAGTTTCTTCCTAATATCTCACCTCTATCTCTCCTCTTCCAGTTTTAATCTGTCCCCCCTCATCCCATCCCTCCCTGCCCTTGTCCCAAGTCCCTCCCCAGCTTTCCTGGAGCCCCTTCAGGCCCTGGAAGGTGCTCTCAGGTCTCCCTGGAGCCTTCTCTACTCCAGGCTCAACACTCCAACTCTCCCAGCCTGTCTCCAGAGCAGAGCTGCTCCAGCTCTCCCATCACTTCAACTATTTCCATGAGCAGTTTCCCAGCCCCTGTGCTGGACTGGGCAGCTGGCAGGGGGAGCTGCAGGAAAGCAACTGGAGAACAGCTGCTGCTGTCTCAGGCACCCTGCAGACACAGCTTTTCCCTTTTTTGTTCCTTCTTCTCAAGGCTATTCTAATCCATCATTTTCAATACCTGCACTGAGGACTGTGTTTCTTTGCAGAGATGACTGTGAAGAACTCGCTGGTTGGCAGAAAAGTGCCTTCATACATACAGTGCAATAACCTCATGTATTCTGCAACAATTCTGGCCAATGGTGAACTTTCTCAAGTGCACTCTCATCTTTAATGAAAGCCCAAACAACCTTTTGGATTGACTCAGCATGGTACCTTCCTTTCCAGCTTATACCCACAAGCAAACCAGGTAAGAACAGCATTTGACATAAGCGAGGCAGCTAGGGACAGGTCTCCTGCTTCCTGCTAAGCATGTTTTGTGGGTGTCACTCTGCTCCAATCACAACCTGAGCTACCTACTGGACTAGAGTGCTGCTGCTGCTCTTTGAGTTTTTTCAGGTGAGGATGTTTGCTGGGAAGTGCGGCAAATGGCAACAGGGAGAGGGGCTGTTACTGTAACCTCGCCCAGCTGCTGTCGGCCAATGCAGGAGAGGATGCAGAGCCAGGTGAGCCTTCAACAGGACCCTGCTGCTATTCTAAGGCAAGGTTTAATTAAATTTTGAGGGCAACAGATGTGCATCTGGAATTCACATGAGCAAGAACCATTTTCATCAAATGCATTAGAAATACACTGTCCCAAAAGCCAGTTCAGCAGTGTTAGCTCTGCCCGTATCCCCAGCTTCCCCAATCTCAGCTAACAACACCTGGGACCCAGCAAAGCAAAACTAACAACAGAAAGCACTCAGCAAAAACCTTTAAGGTCCTTCGTGGCAGAACAGAAACTTTTCACAGAGCAGCTGCTTTTCTGTCCAAAACAGAAGTGTCTTATAAACTCTCCAGATTGTTCTCTGATCCCACCTTTTCAACTGCTGCGTAGCGACTGGCCAAGTGTTTCCGTAGGTCTGTGATGTGGTGGTCACACTTCTTCATGTCTTTCTTAAAGTTCTCTCTGAAGTTAAGCAGGGGTTTCTCTACCTCACTCTGAAGCTGGTAATGAAAACAAAGGAAGAAGTGGCAATGAGGAGCCAGGCAGTAATCCCTGGCTGTTCTGTTGAGCAGAGCTCAGGACAGAGAGGAAATAACACACACCTTGTCACACAACAACACGTCTCTTCCCCAAGAGAGCTCTGGGAGATGCTGCTGCCAAACTCAGCTCTTCACAGGAGAGCTCTGTTAAGGGAATATTTACTGAAGGAAGCAAAAGGACATAACTTCTCTTCCTCTCTCCCTGTTAAATCATCTCTCTCTTCTTGCACATTAAGATCAAACTTCAGGAAATACCCAGAGCACTACTTGAGGTGCTCTGATTCTCACCTAACTGACTCAACTTGGTTAAAAAAACCCAAACTGCATAAACTAAAGCTGCTAACCCTGACTGCAACTTCTCTCTGTCAAGTATAAGGGAAACCTTACACTGAGCCCAAAGAGAAACATGAGTGTTTAGTTGAAACTCTTCAAGGAGGGGCAAGAAACCACTGAAATGAACTCAGGAGAGATCCACCAAGACTGCACGTGTTTACCTCTTCCAAGCAGGACTTGGCAGCCAGTAATACCCAACTCTGATAAGAGTTCTTATAATACTATTCTTTGACCTCCTGATACACAGTTTTGACATCTAGGAAATGTGCTCTGAAGGAATAATACAGACATTTCACCTCCCCAGAAGCAGCAAATACTTCTTGTCTGTTTTCCATCCTGAGGGGATGCTGCCCTCCATCAATGCAGGTGAGTTGGGTCCACAATCACCTAACATGGCCCAGAGTGGAGCAGTATCAAATAGTCCCTGAAAGCAAGTATTTCTGGCCTGTCTCCAGTGCTATTTTAATGGAGAAGGAAACTTCACTCAAGCTCAGTTCAGGCTTTTAATGGGGAGAGGCTACAAAGACAGTCAAGGCCCTACAGCACACATCCTGGAGAGGTTAAACAAGCAAAAGCAGAGCTTGTTTAGGCAGATGAAGACTGGCACCATAGTGATCTAATATGGCCTGCAGCTAGCTGAAGGTCAGATGCAAGGGTAACAGAGCCAAATTCCTCAACAGCCAATTGAGCTTTGGGAGGTTCACAATGAATGTAATTTAAAATAAAATAATCACCTGAATGACAGATGGGCACTAGAACAGGTTGACCAGAGAGGTCATGAAATCTCTGTCCCTAGACATATTCAAGATTCTGCTAGACAAAGATGTAGCTGACTTGAACCACTGATGGTAATGAGGTGCTCTGACTGGGGCACAGGAGCACTGGAAAATACTGGACAATATTTTTATGACAGTGTCATCAGGATGGCCTCACACAAGCTAATAAGGACAAGCTCTCTTGAGAACAGAAGTAAAAACTGATAGCTGTGCCAGGAACATTGTCAATGCTCAATAGAACAGAAACTGTAACAGAAAGAAGTTCAGGATGGCTTCAGTGAACTCCAGGGGCAACAGTTCACAATTGACAGATCTGTGTCCAGCTGAGTTTGAAGTAGCTAAAGTGTCTGTGTGCCATTCAGACTGCTTGCTCCATTAATACATGGACTAACCTGGGTAAAATGCCCAGCATGAGTCAATCATCCTCAGTAGAAGAAGTGGCAACCTGACTCACCTGACATAAGCAAGTGTTCCTCTGAAAACCCTTATAAAAATCAGCAGAGCCAGGGCCACACCAAACAGGAGAGCTGGTTTTCACTGGTCATTCCTCTTGCCTAATAGAAAGTTATTTGTTTATTTCCAATGGTTTATAATGGGATGGGAAATCCTGAGATCCTCACAGAGATGGGAAATGCATCACCAGGAGGCTCAAAATGAAAACAAGGCAACTGCTCTGTCCAGCTTTGTGTTCTGGGAGTCAAAGAGGCAGACTTCTCAGTGAAGGCAGTCATCTTTCCTTCAGCATCATTATCCTGTTTGAACTTCCATCTTGCAAGAGGTACCATAAGCTATAGACTCATGTATGAATGACCCAGGCTTTTAAATATATATATATATATATAAATATAGTGTTGTCCAGATTTATTCCTTTTTCTTTTCTTTGTGCTTGATGTTCTTGCTACAGAACTTTCAAATGCAATTGATGGAAAAAACAAACTGCTTTCCTAAGATGGAGGGCTTTTAAATATATATATATATATATATAAATATAGTTGTCCAGATTTATTCCTTTTTCTTTTCTTTGTGCTTGATGTTCTTGCTACAGAACTTTCAAATGCAATTGATGGAAAAAACAAACTGCTTTCCTAAGATGGAGAGATTCAAAGCACCAGTGGATTCAGACCCATCACTGGTTGAGATGTGACAAAGGACTGGAAATCTCAGTCAGTCTGCTAAAAGAGTTTATCAGGTATAAGACAAAGACCCTGCATCTCTGTACCAGTATGGTAGAGACTTAGGCAGAAAGACAGGCACAGGGTAGTTAGATGCTGCAGAAACTACACAGCTGAATGATCAGAAAACATACTTCAGAAATTCCTCTCATTTCTATTTTTCCCTTTGCTCTGTCAGCACCATTTCCAGAATGGCTGGTAACACACCATCATATCCAGGCTAATCCACCATGTCTTCAGCTAGTACAACACGTGTGCATCTTCCAGCAGAACTCACCTCCTAGAGCTCAGTGAGGGCTAATAAGACAGCTGGAGAAGAGCTCAGTGCCATGATGACCTTCTTGAAGGACCCATCCTGTGCACGAATCTGCAGCTGCCATGCCAGTCTGCACAGGCATTAGTAGTGCCATAATACTTTATGTTCTGAGTGCCACAAGAGTGCTGTCACCTTCTCTGATCTGTTCATGACCCCCAATATAACAGTGCCATGAAGGACTGTCACAGATGTTGTCCAACCACTTCATGGTGTTTATGTTTGAACGTTCTTGGGGTGCTCTGCACTGTATCAACTCCTTTGTGCCAGCACTGACTGGCTTGGTTCAACTATCAACAAGAAATCTAATTACTGCATATAAGAATAAGATCTCTGAAAGTAATTGCAATAATCAATATATTCAGAATCATACCCTGTTGTTAAAAGAATGCTGGAACTAGGAACTCCCAAAGCAGGTATGGGAACAGTGGGGAGAGTTTAGAGGATGCCATGGAGCTTCAGTGCAGGGTTTAAAGTAAAATAATGCAAGAGCCCCTATACATTGCCTGCCTACATGCACACAACACTCCAGGGTGCATTTCTTCCTCTTGGAAAACAATATGAGAGGACAATGGGGAGCAAAAAGTATTTAAATAATTACAGCCCTGAAGTAGAAGTTCGAAGCAGAGAAGCAGGTTACCAAGGCAGCAGCTGGTTGCCTGAGTAACCTCTGCATAATCACTCACAAACAGTGCAGAGCTATAATTTTCCTCCAGAACATGGCTGTTGTGCTGAGGTATCTGCCACTGTACTGAACTTGATCACCCACAGGGGCTACCACAATGTAACAGGATGCAGGAGTGTCACATATGTGGGAAGAACCAGATAACTACTATAATTTGTACAAGAAATCACCTTGGGCATCACTTCAGAGAAGATCCAAAAATAACATGAAGTAAGTTCCCAGTGCACTTTTCAGAAAGGCTAATGATCTGAAGAAGTCAGAGTCCTGGTTCCCTTCTTTCCAGACAGATTTGGTAGATTCTTGTTGGGAAGTCAAATGTTATTTTTTATTTTTTCCTCTAGAGCAGTAATTTGTATGAGCTCTGCCTAAATTTACTTGAACAGGCTGGAACTCAGAGCCCTAGGTGAATAATATCTAGAATCATTTTTCCATGTTTTTTTGTGAAAAATGAAGGCTAGACTTGTTTTAACTTAATAATCTAGTAGATTAACAAACTATGATTTTGGCAGGAAGAATGGAGAGAGTTCCCACACGTTTGTACACCTTCTAAATTCGTACCACATATGTGTGTATTTTCCACACTAACAAGCACTGAAGGAAGCTCCTCATCAATGACAGGGCAAAAATCTTTGCAAAAGGAAGAACTATTTACCTTAGAAGAAAATTTGAGATGAACCTCTGCTTCATCAGCTAGACTCTTCTTTAGCTGAGCCCAAGCCTCTCCTAGTGTGCTGAAAGAACACAGAGCGACAGTGATCAATGCTCTGTCTCCTGCACATCCACCCAGAGGTGTCAGGAAGTGTCAAACAGATGGGGTACAGTGCTCTGTACCTTACCCTGCTCAGCAAAATCACAGAAAACTGATAGCAGAAATCTAAGATAAATGATCTCTGTGACCAAAGCAGAATTATATTGGCATCGTATGCAGTAGATCTTTAAAAATCCTGTTCATAATGAGCTCCAGTTACAGAGATGCCAGTTTCCAGAAGCAAGATCCTTCAGTATCTTATCCTTACCCATAACAAAGCTTTTCCTTTCTAATCTTTAAACTAAATTTTCACCAATGAAGTTTTCCTACTGTCTCTTCTACTTTACATCCTGCTTTTAGTGAACAGATTATTCTACTTGGAGAAGCCTTTCAGTATTTGAAAATTACCAAGCCTTTTCTCCACCTTCTTTTCCCTTCAGACATATTTTCTAGACACTGAGAGTTCAGGTACAATCCTCCAGACTCTCTCCAAAAGCCTAGATTCCTCTTAATGTGTCATAACCAAAACTACACCATCTTCCAGCAGAGAGGCCTTCCAGTTGCTGAACTGGTAACATATTATTTCATGTCAGCCACTCTTTCTTCTACATATCTCAGGATGATTGCTTTTTTAGACAACAGCCTGAAGTTGTTGATGAATAAGCTTGTGATTCACTCCAGCCAGATCCTTCTCCCACAAACTCTTATGTAAGCATATCTTTCACATCCTGTGAAAGTATAAAACCTGCTACTTTGTCCTCATTGCAAGGCATCTTAATTTTTTCAGTTCACTTACTTTGCTTAACAAAGTAATTCTGAATAGCATCTTGTCTCCAAATTGCACACACCATCCCTCCTAGCTTTGTCTCATCTGTGATCACAGTCAACCCATCATTTATTCTAAAAATTAGTAATAAAAGCATTGAAAAAAAATCTGGACTGAAGACAAACATGACAGGATCTCTCACTCCATAGCTGCTTTCTGTGCTTTACTTTTTGTAAGTAGTGGGTATGATTTCTTGCCTAGCTTTGCACCTCAGGCTTCATTTAGGCCACACTTCTCTTGCCTGCCTACAAGGATCTCCCATTGCAAAAAGCTGTACTAAACCAAGAGCTATGATGCTGACTTCTGTTATGCCATCACCAGAGGGATTCAGGTTGGTTTGACATTGTTTGTTCTGTTATGCATCCACAATAATTGCTCATCATCTTAGTTTTCTGCCGAGTGCTTCTAGAAAGCTTGATGGTTTTATTCTACCACTTTGCACAGGTTATATAAAGCTCACTGATCTACAATTTCCTGGCTCCTTCCCTCTCCCACCTCCTTTTCAAAGATAGTCAGTCATATTTGTCCCTTCCTGGTAGCCTGAAAAATTACCTTCCAGCTGCAATTTCAAAATGATGACCTGTAATTTCTGACATGGCTCCAATGAGTTGAGTCTTCAAGTGTGTTAATCGCAGATAAACAACCTGAGACTCTTTATCACCTACGTAAGTGCTCCCAGTTCTTCTCCTTCCCTAGTCCCATCCTGAGGTCCCCTCCCACTGTCCAGTTCTCACTAGTACTATATTATCTGACCTATTTAAGTAAAGAAGACATTTGAGCCTGCTGAGCATCTTCAGCATCTCTTACTCAAACACAGTGACTGAGGTGACCACAGACTGTATCCCCTGTGTACATGCAGCAGCACTGTATTCACAGAAACTTGGGAGAGAACCATCCCAATACCACAAACTGGTCCCATCTCATCAACATCATGTCCCACTTACATATTTGATGGTGGGTTTTCTTACCACCAGAGGACCCTAGAGGTACAGCTCATACTTTGTGTTAATTTCATAGACTGCTGGAGAGCAAAGCTGGAAAACACTCTGAGGGATATGAAACCTGCAGTGGTAACTGGTGTGTTCAGAGCAGTTCATGAGATTCCCCAACTCACACCTTCTCAGAAACGAGAGGAAGACCCTGGTGAATGTTTACTTTGAGTGTGCTATGCTGCACTCACCCTTTTTGGTTCCTTCAGACTCTCCTGTTTGCCGCTCCTCCTCACATCTTTAAATGGAATTATTTCCTTTCTGGGGCCTCACTATTAACCAGGATCTTCTCACTAGCCTCTTCTTAGACCTAGCCAATTTGACCACCACAGCACCTTCCATTCCCTCATCTTGACACATCTCCAGGCAGTGCCACTGGGCAGTGTTCCTAGCTCCCTGCACTCCGCTTCGTGTCCCCTTCCCTGCCTTCTCACAGTTTTTATGCTTTGATCCTCATTCCCTCTCTTTTCATCTACTCTCCCCTACTTTCCTTCCCCTTCATTTTTTCAAGCATCCCCCCCTTCTCCTACTGGGGGTAGGAGAAAGTGGGAGGAGGATGTGGTAGAAAGTGGTTTTAGCTTTGCTAGGAGCAGGTTAACACCCATGCCTAAAGGGGAAAGAAGAACAGAAACCATTATCAATGCAGGTGCTTGGAGAATAACAGCCTAGTTCAGCCTCTTGCCATTTCTGTCCTTGCCTGCTGGAAGCTGAGCAAACACCTCCTCACTCCGCTTCGTGTCCCCTTCCGTTCCTTCAACATGTTTTTATGCTTTGATCCTCATTCCCTCTCTTTTCATCTACTCTCCCCTACTTTCCTTCCCCTTCATTTTTTCAAGCATCCCCCCCTTCTCCTACTGGGGGTAGGAGAAAGTGGGAGGAGGATGTGGTAGAAAGTGGTTTTAGCTTTGCTAGGAGCAGGTTAACACCCATGCCTAAAGGGGAAAGAAGAACAGAAACCATTATCAATGCAGGTGCTTGGAGAATAACAGCCTAGTTCAGCCTCTTGCCATTTCTGTCCTTGCCTGCTGGAAGCTGAGCAAACACCTCCTGGAGCTTCACTGTCAGCAGAAACAACATAGTGTGCCAGAACTAGGGTGAGGGCAGGCAATTCCCACCTTGGATTGCAGTGCTTAAGAGGGTTTATGTTGAAACAGATCAAGTAAAAAACTTCTGATCCTTCAGGAGTGGTGTCTTTTCATTATTACTGAAGAATTACAGTCTAGTCTGAAGTGCATTGCCTCAGAGCTCCTTCATAACTTCCAAAGTGTGAACATGCTGTAAATAAGGGACAACCTGCTGTTTTTCATGAAGGGTCAGGCCCAAGATGAGAAGAAACTTCTATCTCCTTCTATCTGTGCTGCTCCAATTCTACTCGCCTGACTTTATGGGTCCACTATCAGCTGTATATGTATTCCATATATTATTCCATATTCAAAGTAATTTAGTACTTATCCATGCTAATCCCTAAAGGAACTAGTGCTGGCTAGAACAAGGACAGCATAACCACATTATTGAAAATGCAAGATTTCATACAGATATTCCTAAAAATTTACCATTAACATCTCCAGAAGAAAAACATTCCAAACTGATTCTATCTTCCCCAACATGCCCAGGATGCCAAGTTGAATAAACTTCTCCTCAATGGGAGAGCTCAGGAAAAATACATGTACTTGTGTGGGAGGAATGCCTGTTATGTTAAAATTCTTGTCTTCTGCAGAAGTCACAAAGATACACTTACCCTTCTTCCTGAGCAGCCAAAGAATTCTGAGACAGCTTGGACAGGTTCTTAGCATATTCCTCCTCAATCTTTATCCTACACTCATACACACACACACAGAAAATAAAAAGACAGCAGTAAGTAAGCTTTAAGGCAGAAACCCACACACATAATTTAAAGAAATTCTCTGCATTTTAACAGATCTTGCCACAGGAATTTTCCTTTCTGTCTCCAGGGCTTGGCAGCACCAGTTTCAGGATCCATCTCTCCCCTCCATATGCTAAAAATGCAATGGCAAGAGCAGGGATTATGCAGGACAGCATGTGTGATAAAATTAGAAGGAAAAGCTACAGTTTCTGGAGAGCAAATAACAAGGACAAAGTGTTTCTGCTGTGCAACATGGACTGTCTGCTAAACTGGGCTCACTTCAGAAGCACATGTTTCAGTCTGCTGCAAAACGTGAGGCTGGAAATCCTTGAAGCAAAGATGAAGGAACACAGTGATAACAGGAGAAATCCAACTGAGGTTTGGGGAGCTGGGCTGCATATCCCTGGGGACACCAAATGCTTCCTGCTCCCCACTACAGACACTACACCTGAGGAAGATGTGGCAGGAGCTTCTGTGATGGACACAAGGTGGTGCAGCCCCTGCCCCTTCACCCATCCCACCCACTGCCTGGTCCTTCTCTCCATTCACCTGGCAGCACCAGAGCAGGACCAGGATCTGAGCCTGCCAGTGGTGGGGGTGCAGAAGAGGGACCCTGTTGGCACAGAACCACCATGGGTTGCAGGGAGAACAAGTGTAGCTGTTCAGTGAGGGCACAAGGGTAAATGCTGAGTGCACAGCAGGGAGGGAGGGAGCAGCTGCTGGTTCAGAGGTGATGTGCATCACACCTGAAACCCATCTCCAGCTCTCCTGAGCTCTTCTAGTGAAACATTTGCAAGGCACACATGATCCCAACAAGGGCAAACATCTGGCTATTCAGTGGTCTTCAAACCAGCTTCCTCATGAGAGCATCTCCAGCAGAGCTAAGTGGCACCAGGTGGAGCAACTCCTGATTCTGTGCTGTGTACAAGTAGGGGAAAAAACCTGGTTTGAAATCCATTTCCCTCTGGTGAGAAGACAGAAGGTGTCTGCTGCCATCAGTGCCTGTGCATGCATGGCACTCTAAATGCAAAGTCATTGGCTTCAGTGGAAGTTCTGCTCACCAGTCCCAGCCTTGGCCCAGGCTCTGGAATTCCAAATGTTACCTGTAGTGCAGGTGGATGGCACTACTAACAGGGCAGACTGCCCTGGCAAGGAGGAATAACAATAAAAAATAGCAATAAAAAGGCAAACTGTTTATTCCTTAAAAGCTCCAATTATAAGACATAAATTGTTCCATCTCAGCTTGGTGTCCTCTCATCATCTGTGGCCAAAACACCTTTAACACCTCTAAAAAAGCTAAAAAAACCAAGATGAAGATATACCTCAAAAAGGGAAAAAAAATATGCCTTCTGGCCCTGGCTGATGGAACACCCTGCAAACTCTGGGTGGTGGTGACTGTGAAACACCAACACACCAGTACACAGGGACTCCTGAGCCTTGTGAGCCCATGTCCAGAAGCCCCCACAGCTGCTTCACAGTTACTCCAGCTTCACACCTAAAAAGCCCTGTTTCTTGTTTCCACTAACTTGTTTAAAACCTTCCTGTTTAGTCAGAAGCATTGCAGATGATAAGTGCATTTTTGACCTATACTGTCTTGACTTGAGTTCTAGTTTTTTAAAGTACTTTGTGTGTCCACACTCAAATACTTTCAGTCACACTACATTATAACGGAAGAAGGTGAAAGAGAGAGCTATGAGGGGAGGCAAAGATGATCTGATGTGACTGCCATGCAGGAAGAAACTAAATAGGTTAAGACAACACAGGGAATATAAAGAAAAGGTAATAGAGGAGATCTGACAGACAACTCCACAACTGTCACTGCCTGAAGGCAGAGACTATGAGTCTTTTTACAGTATTTCTCCAGATTAGGAGGCAACAATGAAATAAGCAGACAACAGAAACACAATTACTTTTCCTGTAGTGCATACATTGCAGAAGTCAGCCACAAACTGTTGCAGCAGTCAAAAATACAAAAATACTCAAAAGGATCAGACAAATAGTGGAAGATGTTTAAAAGTATCTGCTGAACATGGCAGATCTAAGGCAACCACTCTGGGCTCTGGAAACCCCCAAACTTCTGGTTGTTGGAAGCTGGGAGGACAAAGTGTCTCGTGCTCTTTCCTCTTACACACTCAGTACAGATATGGTCAGATGAAAACCAGTGGGCTAGACAGACCCTCCACAGCCAGTCTCCTATTTGTGTTTCTTTTCATGTAGCTGAAGAATCATTTACGATTTCTAAGCATAGCTCAGGTCAATTAAAAAGTGAGTGGCCAAAAGCCTAAGACAGTGCTCTTTTGCTAATAAAAACACTACTTCTTATACTTGGAGAGACTGATGCTATTCAGGGCAGTCTGCAGATTTTCTTGGCTGTTTTGGAGTGCTCACTTGAATGCAAATGCTGGACCATGTTTCCCCTTCTCACTTCAAGTAATTCTTTCCTACTTTTACACCCACATTCTTGATCTTTCGGTTCAGTCAATTTACTAATTATTTTCCCCTCTTTCTTGAGGTTTCTCTTATTAAAATTCAAAGTCTGTATTATAACTCTACCTTTGTCAACAAGAACTGAATGAACACATAATTGCTTAGCCTAAGAGTGCTGTTCACAAGTAGCTCTCATAAAAGCATCTACTTGATAAACTAAATTTCAGTTAGTTTATTTTATGAAGAGATCTAGCTACTGTGTCTATTCTCAGCTTCCTATTGAAAGCTATTTTTATCAGCTGTCTGAACTTCACACCCAGAAGGCTGGTTGTACAGATGGAGAGAATTTTTCTGAACAAGAAAATCCCTAGGTAAATGTGATCTTGTATTGCCCAAGCCACCTGATGGACATCAAGAAAACTTTCTCAATATTTCTTCCCTCTTAGCTGGGGATGTAAAGGTTTCCCTGATGGCCTGAGTTCTCATTTCATAGAATCATAGAAATTCAGGTTGGAAGGGGCTTCAAGGATCATGTGGTTCACCCTTTCTAGTTAATAATATAATTTAAATGAGGTGGCCCAACATTCTGGGTCAAGCTGAGGCTGAAAACCATCCAGTGTAGGGGAGACCACCACCTCCCTTAGGACATTATTCCATGAGTAACCTCTGCAGCTCAATACTGTCCTCATTTTCCACATGGAGCAATCCTGAATCACTTGTTCCAAACAGGAAAAAAAATAAATTAAAAAAATCACCTTTCTATAACTCTCCTCTAGATCCTCTCACACTCAATTCCAAACCTCTTTGGCTTTCAGTACAAAGTGAATCTTTTCTGTCTCTTCTTCTATAATTTGCCTACTTCTTCCTCTGCTGAGGACATGAACATGCCCCTTCCCAGTGTCCTTTCTTGCTCTCTTATTTCATGCCAACCTTCCCTCCCTCTTGAAAGCTGCTTCCTTTTGTTCCTGTCAAATTTCACTACATATTACTTTCTTTGGAGAAGCTTTCATCCTCCTTTCCTAGGCCACAGTTATCAAAATTCTGGGTGTCTTCTCACCTTCTAGCTTAGCAAGACTATTTCTCTATTTTATTCTTCCTTTGCCAGCTGATCCTTTCTTCTACCTCTTGTCACACTTTTCCATGGATCATAGAGGCAACTGTCTCTCAGACTGTCTTAAGTTAAAGGCATTAGGAACCACACACAGATGCCATCTTTATTCCCTATCCCTTGCATTTCTTCACTGCTGCCACATCCCTAATTCTAAAAAAAAAGACAAGAGCAAGAAAGAAAACAAACCACAAATGAAAGCAACTTTCTGCAAGCTCTGCCCAATCCAACTGTCCCCCAAACACCAACACGGGTGCCTGTTTGGTGCCCTGTTCATCACTTCCACCACTGTTGATCAGCACAGCCACCCTGCATCCCACCAACTCAGCAGCAAGCACACACACAGAGTCAACAACAGAGAACAGCAGCTTCTTCAACTTGCCTCCTGGAGAGGACATCCATCAGCATGCTCTGCCTTCCTCCTCAGAGTAAACACAGCTTCTTTCCTATGGGCTGTTCTCAAGTTTTGAGAGTCATCCTCAAGATGATTTACACTGGTTTGGATGCACGACAAGTGATTCCAAATTACAGTGACAGTGCTTATGAGTAATGATGTCACATCATCTCCTGTACATGGCTGAACTGAACATCCATCAACTGCTTGTTTGGTGCTCACTGTCCTTCCCATATCAGCAGAGCAACAGACCATTAATAGCATTCTGGCATTTTCTGGTTAGAGAAATCTGCCTTTAAGACTTGGGGTTCACTCTAAATATCTCTGCATGTGCTTAAGACCCAAGTGATGTCTTTTTACATCTTCCCCTAGGAAGCTGTGCCTGTGCTCCATGTCAACAAAATGCTTCTCTATTTTTTAGACAAAACATTTCCTTCTAAGTATTATCTCTATTCTGTTTTGTCCATGTCTGTTTTTTTCCTGGAATCTCCAGCTTAAAAACCTTCTTGGTTCCCTCTATCTAACTAGACATTCGTGTGCAATGCAGCTGACACAGACACATCAGGAGAGATGAGTGAGACCTGGGGAAGGCTGGAGAGTGTGGATGGACATTAAAGAAATACTAAATAGCCTTGAAGAACAGGTAGCATATCTTTTGTGCAGTTTATGTTACATCATTAATGTATCAAAGGAATATCTAAATCAGGAAAAAACAATAATGCCATAAATAATTTGATAGCAAAGTGCTAATTACCTTTCTCGAACAAACTCTGCCATTTCTTTCTGCATTTGTTTCCCTTTAAGTTGCTTTTGAAGAAGAATTTCAAACCCCGTCACTGTATTGTTCCCTTGTGAATCCTTCTTATCAGCCTGGAAGGAAAAAGAAGTTCAAGAAAAAGATATGGGGATCAAAACCACAGACACACAGTCCCCAGCAGCACAAGCAGCGATGGTGTCCAAAGAGTCCTTGTCTGAGAATACCTGGTGGTCACAGCACCTCAGCCTCTCTCAGAGGAACAGCCCAACATTTTCTTTTTCTCCTCCTCTTACAGCTTTTTTTGTTTTATTAAAAAGAAAGTAGAAGTTTTACACTTATCTTTAGCTAGCATGAGACTATGTTAGGGCCAAAGCAGCAGTCTTGCCTCCCCTCCTGCCCATGGCTTTTTACACCTGATAACCCCCTGGGCTGGATCAGACAAGCAGGAGCCCTGACAGCTCAGGCCTGCACAGGGCAGAAGGGATCCTAGAGCCAGCACAGGAAATTGCTGGGAGAGAGGGGAGGACATTGCTGCTCTGTCCAGGGGCAACATAGCCCTAAACGACCTTGAATAGATTGTGAAGTTCAACCCTGATTTGCACTCAGAAGAATATATCCAGTCTGCACAGGGCTGCTGTAAAGCAGGGTAAACCAGCAACTTGTTCAACAGGTTATTGCCATACATCCCATCTTTCCCTGCTTGCTTCCTGCACAGCTCTTTTCACTCCTTGCTCCACTGAGTTCAAGGTTGCTACAAGGACCAACAGTCTTCTCTCTGCTCTTTTCTCTCTCTCTCTCTCTCTCTCTCCTCTCTCTGCTTTCCCTGATTTCAGAACTTCATTTCCCACTCTCTTTCAACAAACAGGCCTGGAGAACACTTCCCTAAGGACTACAGATTTTGCTCCAAACCCTAATCTGTGCTGCATATTTGCACAAACAGAACTGCCACATTAATCCAAGCAGGAGACTTGTAGGACACCAGGCCAGGCACCACCAGCTTAAAACAATGGGACGAGCAGAGTTGTTCACAGAAGGAGGTGACTCATGGGCAGATCACAGATTACAAGGCTGAATAAGAGGAAAGCCCTGGGAGTGGAGCTATGGGAGGATAAAAGTTTGCAGAAGAAAGGCGGCTTTAAGTGGAGTTAGGCCCAGCCTAAATAGTAAGAACCAAGCAGGGTGAGGACTTCTGTACGACACATGCAAAGAAACCAGCCTGTGCACCACCTCTGATTTATTGCTCCATGGGATCAGAAGACTGGAAGAAACTTTGATGGTTTGGTAACGCGACCATTTGCAAATGTGTCAGCGTGTTTTAGCAAGTTACTGCCATTCGTCCTCACACCAACACTGAGCACGCACGAGGAGAAGCACTGCTGTGCCTCCAACAGCCACATCTTTTTGTAAAACGGAAACACTGCAATAACTGATGACTGAAAACACAATTTAGATTCATAAAATATTCATCCCCACCCCCCAAAAGTGTTCTCCCAGTGGAAGACCTTTTTCTATCAGCCCCACACTTCAAGGACTACTGTATCATTTTAATCTGATTCAGATCCTGCAAGTGAAGCTAAGCACAAGAGAGCACACACAGTAACACAGCTACTGGAGACTTCCTGTGCTGAAGGCTGATAAAACTACTCAATTTAAGAGCTACAAATAGGCCTGTTCTTCACAAACCTCATCCTCTCCCCTCCAGAATATCCTGTGGGAGTGTTTTACAATTTAACACGAAGTTTGTAACTATCTGCTTGTTTTTAAATGTGATACTCCCAGCTTCCTGCTGCATCCCCAGCTCTCATGCTCTGGGAAACACTGAAGTAATATTCCCTGTCAGCCACCTCACTATCTCTCCTCCTGCTGCACAGCCCTTCTGGCTGAGGCACTCCAAGATGTCTTACATCCTCATTTCCTGACCAAACCCATGTCCTGACAGCTGACCTTGCCCTTCTGGTCGCTCTTCTGATAACCACTCACATCCGAGACTAGTTAGATGGTTTCCACCTGGTCTTCACTGCTGTCCTCAAGTCTCCCTGATGCTGATCTAATGAATTGCAGCCCAAATTCTCTTTTACCTTGTACCAAAAATTAATCTGTTTGTTCCACTTTTTCGGAAGCTTCAGGAGCTGCAATATGGCATGTGGCTGGCTGCCTACTTACCCAGAAATAATCACAGTAGCTCCACTCTGAAGGCTTCAGCAACTGCTGCTCTGGCATTACGTCAGGGTGGGGGAAAGTTACACAGTTTATCTGTTAAAAAAAGCAGAAGGTAGTGGAATTTAGCTGTTGATGAGAAATATGCAAATGAAAGGTTATATACACGCACTTCCAATCAGAAAATCCACAGTGAATGCATGTCGCTGAAGACAAATTGGTTGTTGCATGGAAACAGCTGCTAAGTATCCCCAGAAAGCTCTTGTGAGCAAGCTGGAGTGTAGGCTCAAAGGAAAATAAACTACTCATTTCATATGAGGAAAACTTGCTTGATTTGGAAATCACCATAGAGAGAGTTCTCCTAGACCCCTACCAAACAGTGGTAAAATTCCTCATGTGAAACACCCTGAGCATGCCCTGGATACAAGGAACACCATGAGCAGCAGAAGCACTGAAGGCTCTGTCAGCCTGTCACACCAGAAAATCTTGACTATAATGGCCTCTCAAAGGATTACCAAAAAAAAGTGTTTTTTCATTGCACATCCCTTCCATCCATCCCAGAGACCTCTGCAGATTAAATGGATGCTCCCTGAAAAAAGGGACATGGGGGCTCTAAGGTCAGCTGGCTTTCAGTACCCAAAAATCACAGGAAGCTGTGGGACAGGACTTGTCACACAGTCATTAAAAAAAGGTGTTAAGGAGTACAAGTGCTCATTAAGTTATCATGGTAGAAAATGTAGCCTGATAAAAGCACAGCGGAAGTAAAAAGCATGACAGCTACTGCTGAATGTGCTGCAGAATAGCCCTGGACACAGTTAAGCCCTTCAGGGCAAGCACCAGTGAGAGTAAGAGCTCACTGCCAGGACATAACGCTCGCCTGCAATTTCTGCTGGGCAGGCACAGGAGAAGTAGCTCCTCTTATCATGCCTGCAGGTTCACTGGGCACAAAGAGTACTTGTGTATGAATCAAGGGAACAGCAGAAACTGGGGGTGGAAGACTCACAAATGTAACTGTACAGATCTAGGGTAGGGGTTAGATCGGTTAAATCCAAACCCAAAGCTGTGGGCAGGGTCAGCACAGCTGCACAGGCAGCCCGAAGGGCAGTGCTTACACACAGTGAATCTGCCTTTGGGCTATTCAGAGAGGATCAAAAAGGACACAGCAACAGGCTGCAAAGTGCTGACACAGTTTAAGCCCACCAGGCCAGGGCAACGCAGACAAAGCCTTTAGCTGATCCAATGTTGTTCCTACAAACCCACGTTGACTCTGCTGCTGTCTGCCCAGGCTGGAGTTTCAGTGGCTGTCCTGTATGTAATACAAGAGATTTCTCCAATTCCCTTCTCCACAAAAATAACCCTGTCCAGAGCTTGCCAACTCCATCACAAAGCAGGCTGAGGACCCTGTACCTACAGTATCTCTGGCTGTCACCTCAGCTAGATCCTAAACATGTGAATTCCCATCCAGCTTCCTCCCAGCTCCACTGAGCTTCAATCTGATCTGCAGAAGGTTGGAGACCAGGGTTCTCACTTCACCATCACTTCACAAGCAGCAGTCTGCATCTCCAGGCAGAGCCAGCCTCCACAGGTCACACTGTGTCAACAAAGGCCAACACCTCCCTGTTCTTCAGGTTTCCCATAAGAAGTGCCACACATCAGGAATTACAAAGCATCAGCTCAGAGTGGGATGCTTGTGTGACAGAGGTGCCAGTGCCCACCCTCACCTGGGCACCCTGCACCCATGCAGTGTCACAGGACATGCCAGTGCAGCTGCACTCCTTGCCTCTGCTATGGGCCCCTGTGTCACCACCACAGCCTACAGGATGAAGCCCCTCCATGAGGGACATTTCACTGAGGACACCTGCTGTCTCTGCTAACACTTTCTTCTCCTGCCTCTTTCCATGTAGTCTCAGGACAGCACAAGCCCATCTTGCTCTGGCTTTTTTTAGTAGGTTGGGTTACCTTCCCTGCTCCATTCCAGGATCACGAGATCTAAAAGGCCATGAGAAGATCCCACCATGTTCTGGCAGCAGCCCAGGAGCCAGCACCTCTCCTCCGGGCACAGCCAGTGCATGCAGGTCTGTTCAGAGCTATTCGAGGGCACAGCAAAGCTCCTGCACAAGGGGCTGACTGTGAACAGCTTCAATACCCTGTTAGGAGACCACTGATCCCCATCAGGAAGCTTTGCAAATGATCAGACCAAATGTCCAACACCAGATAGAAACCTTAGACCAAAGTGCTACTGTCAATCAACACCCCCAGGTCCTTTTCCTCTGGGCACTTTCCAGCCCCTCTTCCCCAAGCCTGGAGCGTTGCCTGGGGTTGTTGTGACCCAAGTGCAGGACCCAGCACGTGGCCTTGTTGAACCTCATACAACTGATTTCAGCCCATCAATCCAGCTTGTCCAGATCCTCTGCAGAGCCTCCTACCCTCAGGCAGATCAACACTCCCCCCAGTTTGGTGTAATCTGCAGACTTACTGAGAGTGCTCTCAATCTCCTCATCCAGATCATTGATAAAGATATTAAACCAGACTGGCTCCAAAACTGGGCCCTGGGCAACACTACTTGTGACCAGCCACCAGCTGGATTTAACTCCATTCACCACAACTCTCTGGGCTTGGCCATCCAGCCAGTTTTTTACCCAGCAATGATACACCTGCCTAAGCCATGATCCACCAGCTTCTCTAGGAGAATGCTGTGTGAAAAAGTGCCAAAAGCTTTACTGAAGTCCAGGTAGACAGTATCCTTTCCCTCATTCACTAGGCAGGTCACCTGGTCACAGAGAGAAATCAGGTTGGTCAAGCAGGACCTGCCTTTCCTGAATCCATGCTGGCTGGGCCTGATCCCCTGGTTATCGTGCACTTGTCCTGCAAGCTCATTCAAGATGAACTGCTCCATAATCCTGACTAGTACTGAGGTCAGGCTGACAGGCCTGTAGTTCCCCAATCTTCCTTCCAGCCTTTCCAGTAGATGGGAGTCATACTAGCCAGCCTCCAGTCCCTTGGGACCTCCCCTGCAAACCATGACTGCTGATAAACGATGGGGAGAGGCTTGGCAAGCTCCTCCCCAAGGTCCCTCAGTACTTCCAGCTGGATCCCATCAGGCCCTATAGTCTTGTGAGTGTCCAGGTGGTGAAGCAGGTCATTAACTGCTTCCTCCTGGATTATGGGAGTTACTCTGCTCTACATCACTGCAACTGCAAAGGAAATTTATATTCCCTGATAAAAAGAGCACCTGCTTCTCAAAAAATAGATCTGTGTTGATTGGAAGCAGCTTACTAAGGCTGTTCCACCACTGATGTCCTGGAAATGCTCCTGCTTAGACTGGTGAAGGTATCGCCAGTCCAGCAGCAGCAAGACCAGTGAGCACACACTTCAACAGGGGATGACAGCAGGGTTAATTCACATATTTCTCAGAGTATCATCAGACTCAACTTTTATGAATAAATCATAAGTTCTTCACATCTCAGAAGCTTGTATTTAACTGTCTACAAATGATGCTGAATTGTCTGGGAGAAGTCAGGAGGCCATTTGGGACTACTATCACATTCAAACCATTTCAGAATTTAAAAAGTAAAATGCAGTAGCTTTCGCACTTAAAAAAAATTATTATTATTTGTGTGCTAAATAGAACTTGGCAGAATTGATGTTGCTAATTAAAACCCAGAGGGAGCATAAAATTTTTCAAAACTCTAGAAAAATTCCTGAAAAACTCTAGAATATTCCTAAAATACAACTATTCCTATTTACAATTGCATAGGAAAACCTGTGGCTCTTTCTTTCCTTTCATCACCACAGATTTCTTACACAAGAGTTCCTGGATCTGTATTTCCGAACATTTCTAAAATCTCGTGGGGTTTCTTAGCAAGGAGGGGAGCACACAGTTGGCAGGAAAGAGCTGCACATCAGTAGTGGAGGGACCACGTCTCCCTCCCCCTACAATCCTCCCTCTGAAATGCTCTGTTTCTTGTTTCTAAAATCCAAGACAGCTGAAAAGAAACATCCTGGTCCACCAGTTCAGTCCCACTGAGGGACTTTGTGACTGATGCTGAAGAGAGCCAAAGCATCTCATAACGACTTCCTGGTGTTGAACAGCATTTAACAGCTCTATCAGTCCCACAGACAGTGACACCCTCTCCCCATCTGAGGAACCACTGCTCTAATTTTGAAGCACCACTGCTCTAATTGTCAGGGAGCACTGCTCCCACTAATTGCCCCCCTGACAGCCAGTCACGTTATGTGCAAGGTCCAAACACAACCAGCAGGAGAGACCATCGCAGTGCTGATCTCTTCCAACAACACTGACCAGCCAACAAGGCTGAACAAAAAAGCCTGCAGAAGCTGACTCTTACAGCTGTAATTGCCAGCAAGCAACATATTAATGCACATTATCTTGGCTAATGGTAGAGCCACAGAACTTCAGGAGAAAACAAGGCATTACGACCCACATTACATTTGCACAGGCTCTGCAGGGACAGCCAAGGTGATAATAAGTCTCACCATGATATTAAGTTCTCATCCAGCCTCTTTGCTAATAAAAATAATGGCTGTTGTCAGCTTGCAACAGAGCAAAATTAATTACAAGACACCAGCAAGGTGTACTTGCAGTGTAAGCCAAGCAAACATGCCAGAAGACAGCAGCCTGTCCTTCCAGCTGCAACCAGACATGAGTGAAACCATATAAACTGTGAGAGCCACTGGATGACAGAGGCTAGAAGAAGGCACACAGCCAGAGAAGAGAAGACATTTTGTGAAAAACATGGTGACAACAAAGCCTGGGGTTGAGGAGAGAGGGAGGAAAACCAGACCAGCAACACAAATTGATGCATTTCTCTTGACAAGCCTGCTGTGTACCAAACTCCATCAATGGATTAAAACACTTTTGCCTCTATAGTGATCATGAGCAAAAGCAATTACACTCTTAGCAGCTAAATATTCCAGCTCATATTTCACAGGAGTGCACTGGCAGTGATGGCAAAATGAGCTGTTTACGTTGTAGGTGACTCTTGATTTATGTCTGAAATGCAAGAGGGTGACACAAGAACATTCACAGGGAGGCAGGTGAGTGCACAGGATTTGCACAGGAGCAAGAGACTTTG